TAGGTCTCCCAATTTCTTATGATAACTTCATTATGGCTTGTTTCCTTGGAAACTGCCTTTTCTTTGTCTGAGTATGCCTCTTAACATTTAAAATTTCAAGGGAGCCACTTAAACTGCAATGCAGAGCCATTGTGCTGAGCTGTTATGCTCGGTCGCTATCAGTTTTTTTTCTCTAAATTTACTGTAACTATTGGTTTCAGTAGTAGTTTGTGTGTATTTATACACGTTTTGTGCCGTTTCAAGGGCTGTTTGCTCAGAGGACGCACTCAATCAAGTCTTTCAAACAAGGACCAGGCTGAACCTCGACCTTCTCAATAAAACATGGTTCAGCCTCATAAAAAAACAACAGTAATGATGATGAGGGCAGATCCAGTCAGCCTTTGAAGGATGTAACCAGGATATTGCCCTTCAGCAGCTGAGTGCGAAATGTAAACATTGTTGGGAAACTGGGTCGGGTTCCACGATATCTGAGTGTACAATACAAGTGGTGGTGTTTAACTTCAGCACGTGATGCATGACTGGCAAACAGCATACCGTGTTAAACAGCAAATATGTCTGCATACATTGTTTTTCTCTGTAATGCATTGTGATTATAACATATGCTGACAAGAACAAACTGTAGCGTCGGATTTCTGTTACTTGCCTTGAGTGACCTTTCTGTCTGCCGAGTTCATGTCATAAATTGCCAGTAGTAAATAAGTACATGAACTTAAATACCTAATAAATGAGAACTTGCCAGGTAAACCTTAGATTATTAAATGTTAAGGACTGCATGCAGGTTGTCTGCTCTACATTTTGATGTAGGTTTCCTTTCTCAGCTGCATTCGAAGGAGCTCTTAAAAGGTGGGAGCTGAACAGGCAGACCTTGTGATAAGCTCATACAATCTGTAGATTCTGTACTTTTTACAGAAGAACTAAGTGTTTCATAAAGGCCGCTACTTTTAAAAACTTTCTATTAGAACTAAATTGGTAGATTGAGAGGTATGTGTCACTGTTATTGCTACCAGACTAGTGAACATCCATCCATCCATCCCTCCATCCCTCCATCCCTCCATCCATCCATCCATCCATCCATCCATCCATCCATCCATCCATCCATCCAAAGAGTGATGCTAAAATTATTATTTTTATGGCAACAAAAATTCCATAAAATGCCGTAATGCTTGAGCTTTATCTGTGTCCTTGAAGAAATTTCAAGACCTTCTGAAGCTTAATGAACTAGGATTATCTATTACGTAGAAATTTATGAACACTCTGATTTTCAATTCACTTCCAAAGTTCTGCGTTATTTTTTAAAATCTCATTCATATGGCATCTGTTGGGTCCATAATAAATAACAGACTTTATTTAACTTTCAGCTTTTGGGTGTTACAGTTGGTTTCCAAACAGTGTTGTTTAGTCCCATTTGTGGCAGTTTTGTAGTATTTGTAGTAGGACAGGACTGCAAACAGGGAGAACCTGTTGCATGGCGTCTAGCTGCATTCTCGGATGATGTTTAACCAGTTAGTATTGATTTAGAAGTCAACAAACAAGCAAAAGATTGCAAGATAAAATGTGTGGTCATGGCTGTGGCTCCGTACTCCATCAGTGGATGCTTTGTCTCAACTTCCTGAATATTCAAAATAATGATGGCATGATCACATTAAATTATACATACTGTGTCATTTCTAGTAGTAGGTGAAGATAGTGCACACAATGTATATGAGTTATAAGTTATCTGAATAACCTCACTTTGATTATTACCACCTTAAAAAAATGTTATTTGTATTTTTATATTTATGCCTTTCCTTTTTTTGTGATTTTAATATGACAAATGTTGCTTCTTATGATTTCTTAAGAACATTTTTCAGTGTAACTCCTTTAACTATATGTGATTAGACAAAATATATAACAGCAAGGACAAATAATACATAAATATAGCCACACTTTTGCTCTGTTCTGCCACCTGTATTCTTGAAATGCTGTGATTATTGACACTTGTTTGCACAGCAATGAAAAATGTAACTCTACATCTAAGTAAAAGGTTTATTGATTTATACAATAATCACTGTTTTTACCATTCAGTGGCAGCAAAGAGGCTTAGGGAGCGATTTCAATCAGTGTCACTAATCTACAGCGGCCCTTTATAAAAGTGGAAAGGTTAGAGCTAAGTCTGAGCAGGAGTAAATCAGATAGCGCTATAATGTCTGCGTTAATGTTTCACTTTCTGGCACAGTGTCGCTTGTGATGATGAATGATCCTCCTGTTAGGGATTAGCTGTGGCTCATGTGACAGTGATGCACAATGCTGTCAGCCTTAATAGCCACACTTTTAACTTATGGCGATGGTGAATACAGTGGTCGTGTTGGAAAAGCTTATATGGATGATGTTGATGATTAGGAAGCCACTTCAGCGTTGTTGACGTGTAACAGCACTTCATCATCCTCTCTGGAGCCGCTGCCGGGGCGGCCACTGTCGTCGCAGTTTTAGAGTTGCCTTTAGACTTCACTCTGAATGGTGTTGTGTCTTAAAAGTGTGGTTTTTCTTGAGTTGTGAAGAAAGGAAATGTGCCATTGAGAGTTTTCTGGTGGCCTTGAAGGTGGTGTTTGGTTTGAATGTTACACAAAAGTATCTTTTTAGAAGTATGTTGTATTGTATTGGTTTTTTGTTGGTTTGTCGTCTGTGGCAGCCACCCTGTAAGATTCAAAATGGAAATTTCGCACACTGGGGCATTGACAAAGGCTAATTATAGTGCAGTACTATTTTTGTAGAATATTTGTAGTTTGTAATGTAATCCTAGAAGTTCCTCTATCATACATGTTGTTCCAGTATTTCACGAACTCGTGGCAATACCTGTCATCTGGACTTCCTTACCCATTAAATTATCCGTAACACCACCATTTCCTGTAAAACTGCTACTTTCTCAAGTGGCAAAGCATCTAATTATGGGTTTTAAAGTCACTTTTTAAAATGGACATTTACATTATCAGGGTATATTCTCCACTTAAGCCTGTATTTTCAATTGTCCAGCTGACCTGCAAAATGACCATAGAGGCCTGTGTAATTATATCATATGCACAACTGATAAAAACTTAATCCAAGCCATTTCCATGTATAATGTTTTGTCTTTGTCATGTCTAAATGAGGTCTAAATCGTTCCCGTTTAATGGTTTTTCACACTCACCTTTTTACGGTCGTGGAGTTATTGTTTGGTGGTGAAAGTGGTTCAGCCATTCAGTTAGAGGAAAAAAGAGCCATGAGAAATATTGAAAGCTACCCAGTCTGAGGAGGAGAGGCTTTTATCAAGGCCGCAAATGGGCTGTAAGGCCTCCTGATAGTTAGACCAAAGAGCTGCAGTTTCTTTTGTTTTTGTCAGGCACCTTGGGATTAAATCTCATCTACATACTTAAAACTGGTGAATTAAATCATTGCCCCCTTTCTCATTTCCTGTCTGTATTCATGAAAAAACTTCAGGAAATTGCTCCAGTGAACTTGTGACCTGGAAAAGATTTGGAAGAAATTGATTTCCCAGTGTGGGAGTAGGAGTGGGTCTGAGCTATGTTATCTTTTATGGGTGGAAAGTATTTGTGTTGTGTGTTGCGCTGTAAGGCAATAAGTAGTGATTCGAGAAACCCTCATTAGACTCTCACTTGCGGTATAATTAATCCTGTCCAGAGAGTAAGGAAATCGTTAGGTCAGAGGCAGACAAATATCTCTACTTACCCTAACAAACATGGTCAAAACACTACAAATGAGCTGCTTGCTGGGCTCAAAGGTCACAAAGCTGTTGTCATAAGCTTCATCTTGCATCCCTGAAATCTCATTTTTTCCAGGATTTGATAAATTGATTCAGCTCCAACACCTACACTTAACCTGGCTTTATTAAACTTGCTTCATTTTAAACTGTGAGCCCCTATAGTCTCTTGTTTTAAATCAGTACCTCTTGATAGCGTATTTAGTAATAGAAACTGATCCTGGTTTTAAGCGTTGGAGCTATTCCTTGACAGAGATGATGTGTGTGTTAAAGTGCTGCCTCAGAATAAGACCACTGGGACAACTGATCACATGCAGCGGAGCTCTAATGAGAACTACCGAAGATTCTGCCTTTTCGCCTCCTTAATCTTTGTCTGGTCCCTGCTGACCTCCTTTTCTGTCTCACTTCACATCTGTAGCTCACATTTAAACCTTAGTCCGCAGCCAATTTTACAAAAGAAAGGACTTATAGTGCTTTTCCACGGGGGCGTTTTTAGACACAAGGGATCTTGACTTTTCTGACAGTGGATGCTTGATGGACGCACAACTTGGTAACGTCACAATAGATCAATAGATGATTGAGGACGTGGTCGTCAATAGGAATCCAACTGGTTCTGGACTAACATGGTGGCTCATTTGGAATAGACAGATGGATAGATAGATACTTTATTCATCCCCTTGGGGAAATTCAAGGTATCCATTAGCTCACACGTGTTACATTCAATAAAGATATGGAAACCAATGTACAAAAGAATGTGTAATAAATGTGCAAATCCTCCTGGTCCAAGAAATAAGGTGCCAGAATTGTGGATTTTTACAATAAAGGTGCAAAATTGTACATATCAGCATTTTGGCACCTTATTTTTTCGACCAGCACAATTGGATGTATGATGAGGAGCGAGCAACGCAATGCTCTGTCTCTTAAAACACAACAATGTGAATGCATTGAAGGACTGCTTACATGTGAACGTGTCCCATGAGTTGGCCAGGGAGAAAAGCTACTTCAATATTTGGTTTGACAAATATAACTTAAGTAGCAAGTTTGGGTAGCGATGCAGAAATTTGACCAACAAAACCAAAAGAGTCCATCAAACATCACTGGAATGGCAAATAGAGCAGCCTGAAATCCATGGCTAACCTTTATCATAGCTGCATGTTCTGTATGTTTTATCTTTTCTGTGGAGTTCAAACCAGAATAGAAGCGACTGCCTCCTTGCTTTTTGCTGATTAGATTATATTCTAACATTAGCGTTCTTTTCGATATCCAGTTTGTGCAGCTTTTTTGGAAAACCTCTGGATAGTCTGTAGGCTTTTCACACTGAGCTGCAGCATCACTCCTTTGTTTGGAATAAAGAGCCAAAAAATCAGGTAGTTGCAATGAGCATTATTGGCTCCTTATGAACACTCCTAAACGCACAGAGAAACTAGCACACCATGCAGAACATCAGCGCTATCCAACAGAAATAAAACAGTGGTCTGGTACTGACTGGCAATGCTCACTGGAACGTCCTGTGAGCATTTGATCTTTAAAGGGTGAATTGGGGGGAAACTCAGTCCTACCGGCTACTGTAGGATGAATTATGAAGACACTGAATCATTGAAATGTATGACCTGCCTGGTTGTGGGTTGGCAGTCGTGTGAGTTATGGGTCATGGTTTCTCGTTGGTTATTGACCACGCTGACTGACTGATGAGCCCCTAGGAGGCATGAGGAGGTAGAAGGAGTTGAGTTGTGGTGGTGTGATACGTCTGTCCGTGGGGGGTTGTATTGATTTGCCATCATTAAAGTACACATGTTGGGAAGTCAAGTCTTTTTGTCTGTTTTAGGACAGTGTGTGCCAATTAGGAAATTTTGTGTGTGTAGTGTTTCGTATCATTTATCTCTATTTTTTTGTTTCCGAATGACTGATTGGAGCCTCCTGGGTAGAGAAAGTGGTTCATGACCATGCAGTTACTGAATTCCTTACTTGAAAAAAATTGAGCTGACAACAACAGAAATTGGTGTGATGTACAGTACCTGTCAAAAGTTCTTTAACGCAGGCACCTTTTGCTTTGATATTGCACACTCTTCGCAATCATTCAACCAGCTTAGTAGCCTTGAAATGCTTCTCCAATAGGAAGTGAAGGAGTTCCCACATGCTGAACGTTTGCTTTTTCTTCACTCTTCAGGACCAACACATCTAGACCATCCCAGTTGGGTAATTGTGGATGTCAGGTTGTCTGATGCAGTGCTCCATCATTCTCCTTCCAGCTCAAATAGCCCATACAGAGCCTGGATATGTGTTTTGGGTCATTGTCTTGTTCGGTCAAACAGATGATGGTCCAAATCAGATAGGATGGCTTGTTGCTGCAGAACGAGAGCCGCACATACAGATACCATCGGTTCCCCTTCTCCATGTCTCACAAAGACAGAGCAGCTGTTACCAAAAATCTCAAATCTGGACTCGTCAGACCAGATTTCTACTGGTCAGATGTCCATTCCCTGTGTTCATTGACCCCTCGCCGTTTTATTCTTCTAATTGGTCCCCCTCCGTAATGGTTTGTTTGTCGCAATTGGACCATGCAGTTCTGATTTACACACTGTGCTCCAAACAGACTGACTTTGAGATGCTTCTGTTACTTGAACTCCGGGAAGCATTGATGTGGGCTTTTATCTTGGGTGTTGCTAATTGACAATTTCTGAGGCTGAGAACTCTAATGAACGCAGAGGAAACGCTTAGTTTCATGGTTTTTATGACCCTACTTGAAGAAACTTTTTCTTGAATTCTTCCAGACTGACGGTACGATTCACTCTCTCTTAACTTCGTTCTGTCATTCTTTCCATAAAAAGGATTGTTTTGATGGTCAAATAGAAACTGCACTACCTTGGAACAACATAGCTGCTTGTCTCTAATGTATGAAGAAGGCTATCTGTTTTGACAAGGAAAACCTGTTAATTCCAAGTAACCACCTCATAAAGTCCTTGCACTGTGCAAAGCTGTTATTAAGGCAAACAGTGGCTGCTCCCAAGAATCTAAAATATAAAACATAAACACTTTGTTTGCACTTTTTTTTTCTCACTACATTTGTGCTGTTATGTCATTTTAATTTCTTCAATATTACTCTACGGTCCCAAAAAAATTTAATATAAGAAACAGTTGAATGAGTGTGTCCACATTTTGGGAAGTTCTGTGTGAATATTTACAACTGTAGGTGTGGTGTCAAAGATTAAGGACATGTTCCAAAGAAAAACATAGATAACGTATATGGGCTTGCCAAGCTCTTAAATGCCCTTAAGTGTCCGTATTCTGCCTGCCATTACATTTAAATAGTTGCACAACAATTACCTATAATACTATTGAGATAGACGTTCTGACAGCCTCTGAGCACGACCCAAAAATGTGAATTTCAGCCGTTGTCTGGAGAAAAGCCAAACAATACTGTTGGTATTGACCCAAGCGCTGTCCGTGACACTGTTTAACCTTGGTGGCTGCCACCCACATTACAAACAAACCTCTACTGAGAAAATCCCTAATGCAATGTGATGTTTTGCAATCTGGGCCTGTGTTATCGAGAGGGACTGTCCAGAATGCCAACAATGTATTCCTTTCTATGTGGCAATTTGGCTGCAAACAGAAAAGCTGAATTACTGAAAGGGTGTAAACAACATGTGAACCAGAAACAACAGATGTAGTTTAGCAAGTAGCAGTGATGTCGAGGTGGCTGCTGATCAGGTGCAAGAGATAAAAGTGATGATTTTTAAATTACTTGAACCTGTAATGACGTGTGAGCATGATTTAATATATCTGGCGTAGAAGCCAATCTGTGGAGATAATCGTGCTGCGATGAAACACAATAATGACTTCAGATGTGGCAACTTTGGGTTAAAACAAATGGTCGAACGATGTCCAGGTTTTGACACATGACTAAACTGGATCGTGGATTTTAATTACTTGTCCATCAGTCGGCACTGACGGTCATTTTCTTTTGGTTTTCTTAGCAAAGTGTTATTTTTGTTGCATGTTCAGCCATGATTGTGTGTTTGAGCAGGATGCAGTAAAGATGACAGGTGACCTGCAGGTGATGCATGTACAAGCGTAAGAGACATTGACGTTACTCCACAGGTGAAGTGAAAATGAAGCTGTAACTAAGACTGAAAAATCGAGCAATATCTCTGAAAAAGCATCATATTGCGGATGCCACACAAATCACTAATGGAGTCTGCTCAGGGATACTCAGTGCTAAGTGAAGACTATTGAAAACCGCCAATTCAAAAGCTTTCATCTCATGCCGCAAGCGCCGACCTTGAAACATTAAGTTCTAGGCAGAAAAGGAGGGGCGCTCTTCCACATCAAAAATGAGAGAAGAGCAGAAATATTGTTTATCTAGGCGCATTTTTCTAGAACAAGTGTCAGCCTGGACATGAATAGACAGAATTTTTTGTTATTTATTCTGGTCAGCTCACACAGTTAGCCCGTTCCTGAGAGCCAGTATCAGGCGCCGTCCTGCACATTGAATCCTCTGCTTACTTGGCTGTGCACTACGGTGCACTCAGTGACCTGGCACCAAGAGAATGACGCTGTGTGCTCTGACAATGTGTCGGCAGATGTATTCAGCTGTGCAGGCCTGGGTGTGCGTTGTGTGCATACATGTTAATCAATTGCGTCTATCTGTGAGTCGATTCGCCTACATTTGAGTGTGCTTCGTGTGCATATAGAAGCGTGAGTGCATTTGTGTGTGTGTGTGTGTGTGTGTGTGTGTGTGTGTGTGTGTGTGTGTGTGCCGTGTCTGCCTTAGCTCCTGCCATGTCAGTGAGGAGGTGGCACTGTACTGTGCAATAAGAGCAGTCAGCCTTCAGGCAGGACTGGCCATCTGGACACATGATAAGGAGCCTAGCCCGGACATCAGGCGGTTTTTCAATTCCTCTTAGTGTTATCAGATTTCTATCTCTTTCTGCTGTCTGTCTACATATCAGTCAACAATAATACACTGTATTTTAACCATGCCACTCTTTCTTTTTCTTTTTGTTGCCCCATCTGTCCCTGCATTTCTTTCTTTCTCAATCTTTCTCCCCATCTCTCTATCTCCTCCCACTCTCCCTATCATCCTATTCTCTTCCCCTGCAGTTTGCTGTTTTGTGGTCCACAAGAGGTGCCATGAATTTGTCACGTTCTCCTGCCCGGGGGCAGATAAGGGGCCGGACACAGACGTAAGTAACCAAAGCCCAGCTGTTGCCTCTCACACGTTTGCCACAGAGGAGGTGCCTTTCTTCTCATTAGACTGAAGTGCATACACAGTGGCACCAATATTGCCGTTGTGCCAGCCAGACCCGCCTGTGATCTGAACTCGCTGGTGCTCTTTGACAGCTGCAGAGCTGCCATGCATTCTTATCGTGTTGTGAAGTAGCAGACTGTGGAGGGGAAGAGGGAAACTTGCTCTTCCTCTGACAAGCATCCTTTCAAGCATCTAGAGCTGCAAAGGGCATGTTACCTCTGCTGTTCCAACAATGCGTAGATGGTTTGAAATTTAAGACCATTTTAGAGCGATGTTTACGACAACATAAATACACATCGATCACACTAAATTACACCATAGTGCACATTTATAATACAAGATCATTGTGTCTTTTTTTATTCAATCTCAACTGCAGAGCTTTAACCTTTTACTCTGTTAGTATCCGCCTGAAGAAGGTCGTTCAGATGTTCAATTCAGCAGACTCATGATTGAATCACAGCAGCAGCAGGTGGCTAATTCAATTCATTCATTGTGAGTGTTCCTGTCAAGTCACTGAGCACCACCTTTAATAAAAGGGACCGAAATATTCCACGGATGGAGTCAGTAACCCCCGGCCCCTTAAGAAATACTTAACTTTAGAGCTATTCCCTCTCCGTAATATTGCCTCTTGGAATGAAAGTTAATATTTTTTCTTTCAAAAATAAATATCTTTGAAAAACAGGTTGTGCTTTCATAACATACTGGCAGCGACCTTTATTCTGAGGAGGGCTATAGAGTCCGTAGTACAACTTTAATTACTCTAATTCATCCTGCAGGACTGATTTCAGAGAAAAGCCCGCTGGCAGTTAACTGAGCCATTAATAATGGTCTGATCTGGCGCAGAGACAGATGGGAAATGTAGGAGTAGTGGCTATAAACAGCACACCTACATCTGTCTTGGCTAGGCAATGAGTTGCACACAGCACTAGCAGCTGGTTGCTTGCAACTGTTGATATGAATCACGGCTGAAAAGACAAACTGCACTCTCGATAGAACCGTAGTCAAAAGCTACTGGGCACGTTAGACGTGCTGTTTTTGAATAAAATTTCCTCTTTGATGTAATTTAATGAATTGGCATTTGTCGGTGAACTTCTGGTTGAACCGGTACAGTCATGTATTTTGTAAATGAGTGTTCTGTTTAATGATTTAATTGCATAAACATAAAAAGGAGCTCTGGCAAGGTTGTAGTTTTCTTTTACAATCCAATCTTTAATTGGACCATCAAAACCATTTGAGGTGCTTGGTAAACATCAGCTCTTACGTGACACGCTGAATGAGGTCTCCCGTTCGCCTCTTCATCGGCTCTTCGTACCAACTATGTGCCATCAACCGCCGTTTGCCTGCTAGCTAAGTGTGAAACTTCATTTACATACCTGCTTGCAGTGTTATGGCAGCACGGTCTGGCCTCTGTAACTGGAGATATGTCAGTGTGCCATTCAAGATCATCAACCCAGACTCTTTAAATAGAACACTCCAAGGATGACATGGAAGCCGTAACAGCATAAAATAGTCTCAGCTGGGTGATTCCTGATTGGGATTCAGAGGAACTAAAGGAACATCAGAGTCATCATTAGCAGATGAATTTAAATGACGTTTGACATCAACTCTGGGTTGCACTACAGCACATGAAGACATCTTAACTAATTTACATCTTAACCGATGGTAATAAATCTACTTGAAGGTCCTCAGTGATTACTGTTTGATGCATTCAAAAAGTGCAATTTAACCTACAACTATAGATTGTTTTCTTTCTTAACCCTCAAATGCATAAGTTCAGTTGTTAAGAACCTGGGACTATATTGTTAGTATTATATTTATACTTACAGGTTAGGTTTAGTTGGATAGTTTTGATGATAAGAGTTGAGCAGATGAGACTGAAGACTTAACTTTTGTGCCTTTTGTGAAATGAATCATTTTAAAGCAGAACCAAAGTATGAAAATGACATACTGATTCAGAGCACATATCTGATAGTCTAGTTAGCACTCCCAAGATAACTTTATTTTGTTCAAGTTATTTAGTTTTGTATGAAAAACTGCCACATCTGTCCACCCGCTCCTAACAGCAAAACGGTAAACTGGTCTATGCTTTATCCATGCTACAGTAATCTTGAGCATCTTGTATCTATAATTAGTAATTACTTATTTGGGTTGGGTGGGTGTCTCTAAAAGAAGCTACTGTGGATCGTGTGCCACATAAGACAGTATACAAATGAAATATACCCGTCGACGTTCTACTGACATTTATAAATGGTTGTAAAATTTCATAAATGACAAAAACATATTTTTGGGCGTTTGTAAGTATTAATGCTGAATAGGTTGCAACAATATTATTTTGATAAATCACTTAGTTTGCCTCATGGAAGTGCAGACGTATGCATTAGTGAACCCAGTGTCAGCCGCCTTTTAGAAGTCTTACCTCTAGTATAGTTAAACGTCCTGCTTGACCTTATTTAGCTTTTTCCTTTACTACTTTTTTGTCAGGATAACGTGAAGCACACTGTAAACTAACACACACAGCAGTGCCTACGAGGAGGGGAACTAAGACACTGAAATCCAATCCAACAAAAGGAGACTTCGCTTAGAGGACCTGGGTGTAAATTATTCTGAGCCCTTTGTTCATGCTCATTTTAGGACTCTATAATTCTACAATTCTCATGACCACAGGGCCACCACAAACCAAATCTTTGTCCTTTAAAAATGCACAAGTGTGTTATCGCTTGGGCTATCAAAATATTTGATGGTTCCTTTTAATATACATTTCTGTGCACTTACAGTAGCAGTACTGTTGCCAGGGGCAACCACACTTATTACATGGCTTGCTGCCTCCCGGGCGTGCAATCCAGGAAGGCAATAACTCCCTTGGCCAGCAAATATCCTGAAGATCTGCAGTATCTAGGCTACCTGCATTTTATGACTCATGTCTGTGTTTTATAACTCCCCTACTGGAAGAAGCAAAGTGTGCAAAACAGTGCCAAAAAAGAGCCACTAGATCTTTTCAGTAGCAAACTTATTGGGAGTGGTTAGCGTTGGTTTAATGGGGCAAGATAACCGTGAATGCATTCTTCCTCACAGCAACAGCCGCAGGGTGTTGTTTTAAGGGCAGGGGAGGCTGCAGACAGGCACATACTTACATGTGCGAATTGCTCTGTATAGCCTTTCAAGTAGTTGAGCACAGCACAGTCAATGGTGCAGGCTGAGGTTTAGTTTGAAGGTGCTGTTTTTGAGGAAAAAGGCAAAGCTTGATTCATCTACCAATTTCACAGAGACTGGAGCAGGTGTCTGTCATTTCACAGGCTCGCTGGTGAAACCCCAAAAATACCACTTCCACTAGGATATATAGTTTACAATTAGAATGTAGCAGTACAACTTGTGAGCACGCCCCATGCTAGTGTCAATAAGTCAGATTAAAGCACTTAGTTTAACAAAATGTTTTTGTTTGACTACCGGGTGTAATGTTGCCAGCAGCTCGAGTAAGTTCAGTGCTTTACAGGACAAGACCATCAATAATGCAGGAGCTCTTCGTTTCACTACAGGGGCTCAGAAGGTGAAACTGAGAGGTTTGATGTGCCTCCGTTTGTGTGGGTGTGTGGCTGCTGCATCATTGATGTCCACTTAACCAGAGCAGCACATATGACCCAGGGCAATCTGCAAGTCTTTTTGCACTGATTTTCCTTCCTCTTCCACATAGACTCATACACACACACACACATACACACACACACATTCGCTCACGTACACTCAAGACAATCAACCTTTCGCTCCTCAGGGCTGTTCAGTGCACAGATAGCTGTGACAGAATAATAGTGTAAAGCAGCAGCACAGTGCCCTTTCTGTCTCGTTTGCTCGGAAACAGACAGAACTGACCTGAGGGTGACTTGGCAGCCAGGCAGAGCTTAGACAGGCAGAAAATGCTTCGGTGCCATTTTGAATGATGACAGACTGTGGCAGGACAAACTATGCGACCCATTATTGTTTAACAGTGAATTCTGTAATTTGTCTTAAAAAGCGGTCAGATCTTGTTCTAGGTTGCAGTTGTAAAAAACAGAATTATTTGAATTACTACATGCATGGGATAAGAGGGATGCTGCACACCAACATGAAAACATCAACCTGAAGCTGACGTATGGTGGAAGGACCTTCAATGATTCCCATTTTTTATCAGTTTAATTTTAGAGGTTGCTGTCTGCCAGCTGAAACCTAGAAATCGGGTGATACAGCATGACAGCTACCAAACCCAGTCAAATCAGTGTACTGCAGAACTACTTCTAAATCAATAAACGTCTTTCTTGTGTTGGAGCCCAATCAAAGCCCAGACCTTAACCCAGTAGAGATGTTGCACAGTGACCTCGAGAGAGCAGCTTCACGCCAGACATCATAAGAATATGGCTGAACTGATGCATTTCTATGAGGAAGAGTAGTCCAGAATTATTTCTTGAGTGTGACCTGATTCACTGTTACCAGAAATGCCTCATACTGAATTAGGTTTGAACAGTTAATAAAGAAATTAAAGATCTGAATAGTTCATTATTAGTCTTAACACACCGTGTTGGTCACCGCTTGCAATTCTCGCCACTGAGAATGCATTTTATAATATCAGCTACCACAGTGCTATCAAAAACAGAAACTCAAAGTCAGTTAGTGGAATGTGGCTATAAGTTGGGACTGAGAGCAGTTTGGAAGCTCAGTGCCATTGCCATCTTGGTAACACCTGGCTCCTCCTAACTCCTAGCTATTCCCAAAATGTTTAAAGAGGTGGAGCAGGAGAGGAGCTGACAAGGGTCATGGACTGTCTTTTCACAGCAGCCACACGTCAGTCAAAGCAGACACACCCTTAATTATGCATAACATTAAGCCTGTTAAACAGTTGGGTCATATGAAAATTCACCCTCTTTACAGATATCACGAACAGAGGAATTAGCTGTTTTTTTTTAATTT